CTTTCTGACAAGCGCATCATTGACGTCTGTGTATGAATTAGGTTCAAATGTCACACGGCCGTAGACATTTTGAACTTTGAAGGGGCCCTTCCGTAGTTGATTTGTCGTTCTTCTTATAAATTGAACGGTTAAAAACATCCTATTATAAGCCAAACTGTTAGCTTTAAGTTCTGCTGACTTTGGATGCTTGTTTTGGTACAATCTTTGGAGCTCATCATTCGGCATTTTAAATCGACCTGAATCAGAAACAAACACTTCCGCATCCTTACAACAAGGTCTGGAAGTCCTTAACCATAACCCAGTAACGCGATGCAATGCGTGATAGTACTGGCACTCTATGGACATTGGTGGTAATCGGAGTGGTTCTAGTTTCGTATAATCTTCATCACCATGAACTGCACCTGACATGTAATACTTAGATGTGCAATCTTTTCCTTTCTTTAATACCCTCGTTGGTCTCCGTGTTGATACTGCAGGCAGAGCAGCCATAGGTTTAGTGCGAGGTACTACATTTTCTGCTGGAAGTTTAAGTTGGGGTAAATCATCATCAGGGTCGTCCAAGTTCTGCGTGTCACAATTCGGCATGTCCTCAAAGTCAGATGTGACATTCCTAACAAAATCAAATGCTGGCACACTTGGAATCGCTGTTGGATCCAGAATTAGGACCGGTATGAGCCCTCCCTCTCCCCTCTCCCGTCCCTAACAACTGAAACCCTACAATTCTGCATGTGCACTCACCTCCCCGTACACCTTTTGAATCGATACTAGCATCCGATGGAAACTGTTCCATCGGACTTCCATAAAACTTTTCATGATGGTGGTCAACTGATTATTGTGGCCAGTTGACTTCATGTACGTGACAAACGAGCTGCAGGCCTCTTTCAGTTGTAGCACTCGAAGAATTGGTGTGGCTTTGTTCTCTACCAGGTGCCCACGTAGCTCCTTCGAAAGGGCGTGTCAGTATCCTTCATCTGAAACAACTGGAGGACGGCCGGGTAGGCCGACCCCGAAGTGTGGCCAATCCGACCAACCGCCTGCTAGTTCACGGTGGTGCAGCTCCAGGGCATGGAGATTACCTTTGTGCAGGCCCACTAAAATCTCCAATGCCCTTGCACACTTCCCTTTAGCCAGGACTTCTCTGATCTGTACCGAAATGCAGCAGACGAACCATATTTAGAACATTTAGTCGAGCGAGCGAGCGAGAGGGAGAAGGGCAGCGCGAGCGAGAGGGAGAAGGCCGGAGCGAGCGAGAGGGGGGTGGTCGGAGTGGGCGAGAGAGACGGTAGCGATCGACCTTTCTCACCCTTGCAATAGCTGTCGGACACAAACGACACACATGAGACACGTGTAAACGTTTTCGGAAAGACCAAATCCGTAAAAAATTGTACGTTTTCGCTTCCCATTCGTTGGCCTCAGTGTTCAACTCCGGGAAATCAACGTTACACGTCATTGCGCTCTGCTTAGTAGTGTCTTCCGCCCACATGTCCAAAGTAGCTGCTAGCTCATGTGCCTCAGCAGCGGCCCGCACGCGCGGGTAAAGATCGGCCCGTTTAATGTCAGCCAGCTCTGATATTCTTTTTAGCAGATGATGCTTCCAGTATCACTGCTTGTACAACACCTACTTAAACTGATATTAAGCAAATATTAAACATTTTTAACCTTATATAAGCTTCTATAAAAGTCCCCATTCAAAGAAGAGAGGACGGAAGAGAGAGCGGGGATCGGTGGTCCCAAAAAAGTGGTTCGTCTCCGCCCACCTGTTGCACTACCTAGTGTCACCAAAATATTTGCTGTTGCAGCAAAAATATTTGCTGGGGCAGCAAAAATATTTGCTGTGCCAGCAAAATTGTTTACTGTGGCAACAACAATTTTTCTGCAATAACGATCATTTTGCTTCGACAACAAACTTATTGATGCGACATCAACTTTTTTGCTGGGCCAGCGAACTTTTTGCTATGACAGCAAGCTTTTTGCTATGACAGCAAACTTTTGGCTGTGCTGTGAGTGTTAGAAAGCTGTAAAGTACCGAGGCAGGAGCAGAAGCTCATGTTAGCCACGCTACTTTAAGAGGACTCCCTGAGCTAATTCTAATTTTTACGTGTATTTACCTGTTTTTAGGCCTAATTACCAACACTTTGTCTGCAATTAGGCATTTGTATAATGAAAGATAGGGCTTCTGGGAGATGGAAAATGAGAAGTCAAGGAAAACTTGCTGTGGTATGGGTTATAAAGCACTATGCGCGATTTTGAGTCCATGAAGTCGATACTAGCGATTGGGCCAATGGAATGGGGGCGAAGGTGAACGGCACAAAACTCGGCAGTAGCATCTAGTGAGTCCTTTTTTGCTTTATGGTGGGCCTTGATCAGTTGTATTGGCCCTGGACCCTCCTCAGAGTTAATAGCCACGTACGTAGTTCACGTTGTGGAACACTAGCAAACAACTTTTGTTGTTCTATAACAAGACAGAGTCAGTGAAAAAATTAACAGAGATTTTGCTGTTAATTCTAGGTGTTAATTCATTAAAATTTTGACCAAGTGGCGTATGTCCAAAAACTTAAATTATCCAGGAGAGAGCAAAATGGGTTTGTAATTGATCTGCAAGATTGAGTTTTTAACATAGACCTTTCAATCCTTTTCCATTTAGTTCTTTAAATGATGTATTACATTTTGTATTTCACGCTGTGTGATTACCATGCATAGGAGAGCAGGGAAGGGACATTCGCCAATTTTTTTTCTGAGATAAAATTTGACCAAGAGGCGAATGTCCACAAAAAATTTGACCAAGGGGCGAATGTCCACAGATGTTTTGACCAAGTGGCGTATGTCCATGGATGTTTTGACCAAGAGGCGAATGTCCTCAGATCTTTTGACCAAGGGGCGAATGTCCTCAGAAACTTTCACCCAGTGGCGTATGTCCAGAGACATTAACCCAAGGGCTTAAGTCCACATAAAAGCAGAAAATCCATAGAGTTCATACCAGTTACACAATAAATATCTTCTAAAGACAATATTTACATAGTGGATATCAGAAACAAAATCAAAATACCAGGGAAATTTTCACATATCATGTTAAGATGAGTATTATTAATTATAAGTAGTTTTGTAGCATACACAGGAGACATACATTTTCCCCCTATGTTAATGTCATTGTTGTCTACTGTGCAAAAATAAATACCTTTGTTGGTGAGCTCCATAACCAACATTTGGAGGCAAATCGTCGGTGGCCATGCCTTTAAAAAGTTGTCTACAAGTTCTGACATTCCTAGTGAAGAACTTGATTTGGGTATGATGATTTTAACACGTTTACAGAGAGGGTACATGATTTCAGCAAACAATATCCAGCCAAACTCTCGTCCAAGTAGAGTACAACAAAGCCGACGGGTACACAGGCGGTACATACGCAATCGCAACTTCAGTAATAACACTTCAACTTCATCGTCTTCAATGAGTATGAGAACTTTCCTGTTCCCAACATACGATTTTCCATATGCACTTATCTGTAGTCTCGCACATGTGTCCCCTCTCCTCTCTCTCGACCGTCGTTCGATCCTACGTCGTCTGCTTCGTTTACCGATGTCTTTTAAGACTATATGCTCCATACAAAGAAATGTGTTGTTCGTTAAAAATGAATTTGTTGGAGTATCGGTATTTGGGGAGTTTGTTATTTCTATATCGTCTCAGTTGTCAGTGTATACGGTACCCTTGAGTGAGTACATTGTTTACCCACTAGACGCACGTTACTCTTGCCCGTCCCAAGCTTCAATCTCGACTTCATGCTTTAATGCTTCTGGCCTTGCATTACAAAGTTTTCTCCTTTCTCCCAAAGCTACTTATAACTCGCGGTACGGCCGCCAAAGCCCAAATCAGCGCTAGGAAAACAAAAACAATATATTTTTTATTTTATTTTGAACGCTTTTATACTTATGCCTTCTGCTGCTAATGTCAAAAACTTAGCCAGTTTGTCATAAAATTTCACCCTATTTTTTGGTTTGTCTTTGGCTTTTGGTCTTTTTCACTTTTGCTTTCAGGAGCAAAAGCAGTCTTACCAAGAAGAGAAACTACAACATACACCGTGGATGAGGAACAGTGATATCTGATGAAAGGCTTGGGCCCATTACCTTCCGTTGGGCTCTTCTCACAAAGGCAATTCTGTGGCAGAATCTTTCAAAAATGGTAAGTTTGTCGTTTTCTCTTGTCTCTGATGTTCTTACCATGCCATTAAAGTATAGTAGTTGCAACATGTTCCTGCAGGCAATTGCTTCGCTTCCTGACAAATGCAATGTTGAGAAACCTGTTCTGCTGGACGGATAAAACATGTTGGACCGGCCCGCCCAAATCATGCTCACCAAGTTCTTCGGTTTATTTTCCTGCTACTATTAAGCAAAAAAATATCAAAGACTACAACCTTGTCCTTATTTTAAAAGAAACTCAAGACTGTGTGAACATTTTAACTTAAACTCATTTGATATCTTTTCCCAAAGTTTGTTTTAGGATTCACTTTTATAACTTAGTGATTAAAAACATTTTCAGTGTCCCTCCCTATCCACTGGAAATAACATGTTCCAAATTGTAATAATTTATAATACTTGTCACTCAATAACTAAGAGTCACCTTTAAGTAAATGTTCTAAGTTGTCAAAAATGTATTTTTAAGTCATACATCAAATGGAGTGTGGCATTTATCTTTGTCCAGTTCCCTTGCTTTTGTAGTTTGAATGTGCCAATTATCTGGTCACTTGTCATTACATTATTTATCTTGTACAGTGTGATTTCTCTGATACCTATTTAGAATCTAGATTTAATTTGTATGTAACATGATTTGTTCAGCACATAAGAAATGCTATCATCCATGCCTTCATTCAATTAAGTTACACTGATCAAGGAAATGATTGCTTGTTATGAGTATACTGACCACGATGAAATAGAAAGCCATTTCAAAGAGCATAAAAATAAAGAAATGCAAATTACTCATCTTAATTTTTATTACAAAGAAAGAAAACATTAAATTTCTAAGTTCCAATAACCTGAAAAAGAACAAGAGAGTTACTCTAACATCTGAATAATTTGCTTACTTCTTTTGCAAAGGGAAACACATCATATTTTACCTGGAGGAGTATAGGCTGGCTCTCTCGACCACATCTGCCGCTCAGCCTCAGTTAATTTAGCAGCCTCGCGTACTTTTGCCCTGAAGGGTTGATGGATTTCACATCTAGGCAGCCTACAGATGTGCCCGTCCTCTTTAACAGGGGTTGATGTGGCCCCTGAATTAAGAAAGGAAGAACAAAATTGTTAATTTTCATATTCAAATCGGTCAATATCTAAAGCATGACCAGAGGGCATTATCAAGGGAAATGCAGTATTCAAGATTTGCCAGTGGAACTTAACTATCCCGTACCAAATCACTTGAATTGATAATGTTCAGTAGACGGAGTTGGTCTAAAACAGATCCACTTACCTGGGTTTGTAATAGGCATTGCCTCAGACTCCAACTCATCCTGCACTGGCAACTCATCTTGCACTGGCTCAATCCTAAAATAGAAAACAATAATAGTCATTAATTAGATTTAATTTTGTCACAAAGAAAACAAACAGATTTACAAGAAGCAATGGGCAATGTAATTTTGGTACATTAGGGGTAAGTTTAGACAAAACAACACAGAGATTAAAAGATTATTCAAAAAGTTCTAAGTAATGATAATGTTTTCAATGTTGTTGAGCCAAAAATATACCTTTTATAAGAAGTTGTTTGTTCATGCAATTTTGGTTCCTCAGAAATGCAATAAATACATTTTCAACAATAAAGAAGATGTTTTGGTGCCTCTATGAGGGACCCATCACAACTCCATGGTTTCCAGTACATCACTGTACACCAAAATGTCTTCACAATTTGTAAAACTGCATTTGAAGCATAACTGTTTAATTGCATTGGCAAACTCGAGCTTAATCAGTCTTTTCAAAATCTGAAATTGGGGGTGACAGGTGGGGTGTTCTACTAGAGGGCTACATTAATAATACGAGCTATGAGTAATTTTGGAACAAAAAAGCAGCATACTTGAAGAATGAATAGATAAGAAATTACTGCTACTTTAAACTAGATCATACAACTGACACATACCTTGGCTCTCTTTTGGCTGCATTTTTCATCTCTACCTCTTCATCAAAAGTTTCCTCGAGGTCCAGGTCATGCAGTGACTTCAAAACATTGTCAACGCTAGAACAGAGATGGCAACCCCAACAAACTTAGATAATTCAATTTAATGCAAGTAATACAAAAATAGAAATCGGAACTTGAAAATCATTCCTTTTACTTCAAACACACTCAATGTGTATTTCGTACTTTAAGGTATAGTCATCAGGGTAAAAACAAAGTACTCACTTCCGAAATGCAATTTTTAATGTTCTGCGGCAGTCCAACAGTGTTTTCTTCATTTCCCTACAACGAGCTTTGTAAAATATGGCCTCTTCAGCACTCATCCTGAAAGAAATGAATTATAAAGATTATTGTTTGCTATCCAACCAATAAGAACCCACAATGCCTTGTACTTTGCTGGGTTTCTAGACAGAATTCTCAGAGACAATCAAAATTGTATCATTTGATCGTCAGTAGGGTTCTACATAGTATTACACTTCCCGTTCCTGAATTACTGAATCCCAACAATAATTCTACCTTACTGTCTAGAGACCCACCGAAGTACAAGACATATTGTGGAAGCACACAAATGTACACTAAAACCCAACCTAGCCTTATGCAATGAAATCATAACAGATCAATTAATTATAAAGGAAATGAAAAAATATGAATGAAATAGGAGAAAAGAAACGGCTCCTTCAAATATAATGGGTTGTAGTTGTAGTACAGTACAAGGCCCAACCAGGGGTCTTGTCAGGGGCCCTACATAAGACTCTCCCAAAACAAATATTTCTATCCTCTAACATATTTCAGCAACACAAAATGATTTGATATGGATTTTAAGTGTCCATTAAGCTACAAATAGTGAAAATACCTTCGAAACGACAGAAACTTCGAACAATTAACCTATCCAGCCACTTGCGCGCCAAAACGACCCGTGTTCGTGGTTGTGTTCGTAACTGCAGTAATGCCAAACTAACCTGCGAACGGAAAGACAAGTTAGCATATGTGATGCTAATACGACATTTTGCTTCAGTTCTAACTTTAAAATTTGAAAGAAGTCTTGCCCCTCACATATTGAACAGTGGAAGCAAAGAAATTATAGAAAACTTGCAGTTAAAGGGCTAGGCACACTGAGCGGGGGGAGGGGAAAGAGGAGGGGTAAGGCTCTGTTGCTGTTCAGGTCATTGACCCTGCTAGGTCAGCATCACTGTTGTTGTTATGCTAGTCAATCGCCGGTTTATGTCGTTTATTCGGTGTTTGTAAGAAGTGTTTGTCCAATATAAAGATTATAATATGTCTCGCGAACGGCGTGGGCGTGAGTCTCGCTCTAACTTTTTCAAGAAATATTGCAAAATCCAAGTACCAGAAACAACACAAGACAATCAAGGTATGTTTGAAACAAGGAGCAAAGGATTTTCAGAAACCTTTGAACTGCACTTAGTATTTATCAAGTGGTTGTGAGAAAGTCAAGCAGCAACTGCTAGCAAAATGATTATTTGCTCTTCATTTTTTAGATTAAAAATTGCATCTTATTTGAAAGCTTTTTCACAGTTGTTTCCTCTTTTCATGTAGTCGCTCAAGTAGCTCAAATTCCTGAAGGCCACGTAGGCCTAGTTCCTGTAGTTGAAGAAGCCCAAAGACCTCAAGTAGCCCAAGATGTTGAGAACAATGTCTCAAGTATTGGTTAGTTGAAAACTATTGTTTAACTTATAACAGTTCTAGATCAGATTGAAAGAGTTTCTTTCACGCTTGCTTGCAGCTGATGAAACAGCGAGTGACTGCTCTTTGTTCACTCCTTCTGAAAGAGTGGTCCTAAATCAAGATTACCTTGATAACGAACTGGACAAAGATACCAAGGTCCAAACGTGGCTCAAAAATAAATCATTACAAAATGTTGAATCTCCTGTGAGAAAGCGGAAGCCACCACTGGTTGCTTACTCATTTTCATCTCCCACCACAAGTAAGACTTAATATACCTTGATAATAAACCATATCTCACTGAAAGTTTGAATTGCTTTTATAAATAGATTCCATATCTATTCCAAATCACCAGCACTAACTAAATGCTATTCATAAAAAGTACCGAATCATGCTAATAATTCTGTTCCAGGTATGCCACATTCTCCAAATGGAAAGGAAGAGGTGGAAGACAAACCCCAAAAAAGAACTGTGACTTCCGAAGAAGAAGCGCCAAGACTGAAAAAGCCTAAACCCAATAATACTCAAGTCTTTAGTTCAAAAGTACCAACTGGAACTGCAGATGAGGTGCAAAATCATACAACTACAGGTACAACATCATATCATGACAAGAATTGTTTTTCAATGTTAGAAAACCAGTCATAGATAGTCAGAGAGATAAATGCCAGCGTCAACATTTCTTTGACTTGAAATCTTACCTTAAAATGTGATCATGATTCCTATGCTGTGCTTTGTTTGAAATCGATTCCAATTCAAAGACTTGGTCCTAAGGCTATAATATTAAAAAGCAAAGAAAAAAAATGCTTAGCCATTTTGCATTAATCACAACAAATCCTTTTGTTCCAGGTTTAAGGCCACAGAATTGTCAACCACTGAGAATCGGTCTGCCAAAATGGAAGAAAAAATTAGATGTTGATTCTGTAGGTAAGTCTGTTCAAAGATATTGTGACAAAAATATTTCTTTACCTTTGAAATAGTGAGGCTTCCACTCATAATTACCATCAAAGAGTATGGAGATTGCATTGCTAGATGCTTACTACCTCCTCAAAGAATCTTGATCACGGACCTCTGTGTGACAGCAAAGTTAAAATCTATAAAATATTTTGCTCTCCTTTTAAGCTGTTTGGTTTTCTTCAATTAACTACGGCCAAATCGTTCTTTGTTCCAGCTCCAAAATCCATGTCTGAAAATGTCAACCCTGAAAACAAAAGCAACATTGAAAATTCAACAAGAAAGATAGGTATAATTACTTAAATTGCAATAAATGTGCCATCGTATTGTAGGTTGATAGAAACCTTACACTGAAAAATAATCTTTTGTTCCAGCTCCAAAACCAACAGTAGAGCAGAACCAGCAAGATAAAGGTAGCGTACTAGTATCACAAACCAAACCCTTCCATGGATAGTGATGCGCTTCACCTTTCAATGTTTCAATGTCTGCCTCCTCTACTGCGCTGCTGACATGTCCATGGAGTTACCTTAAAAGAGAACATAATATTGATTCCTTATTTCCTTTTACAGAGAATACTCCCCAATTAACAGCATATCAGCGCATGAGGCTTAAAAATATAAATGAGAATAATTCTTTGCTGAAAGATCTAGGAGGTGAGATATTCAATTGATCAGTACTCCTATTGCACATTGTCTTGCCAGATATTTTCTGTTCAGATTTTAAGATAAAATCTATTAGAGTACTAAGCATTTATTTTAAAGCTGCAGATCGCATGCGCTAAATTTCTCTTATCATTTATGTGTCCAAGTAGCTAAAGCTTGGCAGGTGCGAACACAGGGCTTTGCAGACTACTTGGCGCTTTCTAGCAAATAATATTAGAAACTGAACCTAAGTTTTCTCAGGAAAAAGATGTGCCTAATGCAATCAATATCAGAGTATGACATGTTTTGTATGCTTGTTTAGTTAGTTTCTACCTTCCTCTTTACAATACCACTGCTACCAAACACAACTTGGCCTTTTCTTCCAAGATCAGTTGCTAGAAAGATTGCAAAGAACAATGAAGAATTTTGTTACAAAAGATGCAAGTGGCATTCTTTAGA